TTCATGAACTAAGGAAAGCCTTTAGTTCTTTTGTTGAACCATAATAATCACATTGTTTCAATATGACAGCTCGATTTAGACACTGAATACAGTATCAATCTGTACATCTACCAGTGGCGGTCCCAGGATTGCGGACCGGGGGGGGGGGGGCGCGGCAAAAAATTTTTTCAATGGAGGTGCGTGGCGCTGACCACGCACTCCGAAAAAATTTTAGGGGTGCTTCCCAAAATTTTTGCGGGTCTCCAACCCTTAAAATCTGGAAAAAGGGGGCGTGGCGTTAGCCACGCCCACGGGAAAAAATTGTTAAGGCTAATTTGAATTCTTAAAAAATTTCAAAAATTATTTCAATTGTTTACAAAAATAAAAAAGTCATTTGCACATTTTTATAACCCACGTTCCCAATAAATTTCAAAAATTTCGCGACCCATTCTCGGGGGGGGGGGGGGGGCGCCCCCCCCCCCGCCCCCCCCTCGGTCCGCCACTATAATATAGTAGTAACATCTATCCTGAACTACATCTTCAGGATGACATGTTGAATGTGTCTGACAGGTTCTCAAGCATGCCAACAGGACTTGACGTGATCTTCAATATACTTGTTTCAAAAATTACCCTTTTCTAAATAAATCGCAATAATTCGTTTTAGAAATAATCTTATGCGAGCGTAATGATTTGTTGGCAATCAACAAAACTTCGGCAGTACTACACTTATTTCAGAATTTTTGCAGCAAAATGAGAAAGGTTCTTTAGCCGAAAATCGAAAACCTCTCCTTTTGGGAACCCCTATTAAGAAAATATAGCTCATTTTGAAATATGGTAAAATATTTCTCATTTTGCTCATTATGTATTTGATTGTCTTCTAAGAGTGGGAGATTGCAGAGATTGCACAAAATTCCTTCACACAAAAATTTCTGCAAATAAGTTCCAAAAACCCATTGAAATCATCGCCCTAAAAAATTATTTTTCCAAAGTTAATGTTTTTTTCGCCAGCGATAGTCGAGGCTTTTTCAAAGAAAAAATTATGTTTTCAAAAAGTTCCGTTTCTAATAGTATGTGAATCATGGATTAGAGTAAACCGGAAAGTTCCACACTCTCTTGTTCCTTTGAGTGCTTACTTTAGAATGAAAACCATAAAAACCTAAAGAAAAGAGCTATAAAATAGAATGAAACATGCTTTATTTCTTCATAACTATGCAGCTGAAGGCTAAACTTAGAGAAGTCTTATTAATTGAATGCTGCCAGGTGAAATCAGTTCCTTATAACTAATGATTGGTGCTAAGCGTTTTCCAACAGAAACCTGGGTGTTGAGCGCCAATCGCGCGCCTTCAAATCTGCTGCTCCCATCTTCCCGACAACTATCTATACGGAATCTTGAACCGTGAATATGCAAAGTGAGAAGATACTGGATAAAGCCTTCAGTCGCTTCGAGTGAACAGAGAATGAGGTAAGCTTCTTGTACAACAGAAATTTTTGGCTTTTTGTACATTATTGAGTTTTTTTGAGAAGTACCAAGGAGTACGCTGTTTTTTTCTTTTGACTTTCTCTTTGCAATCACTCTATAAAAAGTCTAGAAGCGACTAAGCGAGCATCCGAAAGAAATGGAATATTTACTTTACTGCATTGCTTCGACTTGTATGCAACTATTACATTTTTTGAAAGCGAATCATTCTATATATGTGTCGCTGTCGGATTCGAGCGATGATGACTGCGTCAAGGCAAACCATAAAATTGCAGCTACTCGTCCGATTTTGAAAAGGTTAGTTTTTTCATGTTGTTTTAGAAGTGGCTTTTACCTTTTGTTCACACATAATTATGCTATACTTCAATTTGAAGAAAATATCATTCATGTTCTATTACTTGCTTTTGACGTCACAAAGCTTTGTTACATTTGATACTTTATCTTTTCAGCGGCAGGTTACCAGCAACGCGAAAATATCTAGTTCCAGTCGCGGCTATTATGACAGTCGTCCTGATTTTTGTCTTGCTGAAAAGCGACGAGTCATCCAACCCCATTGTAAGTCCTTTCGACTTCTCGTCAGTCAACACACGTTTATTGTTTGAGTTTTCAGAGACTTTCTAAAGAAGAATTAATGAAAATTGAGGAAACCCATCGGAAGCATGACCTGGTTAGGAAAGAGGTCGAAATGAAACTCAACCACATTGATAGCGTCAAGGCTAATAATTCTGATGTAGGTAATTTCATCAAAGCTTATTTTCGGGCCCTGCAAATGGCGGTGATACTTCAGAAAAATAAGCAACTCCAAGCGCCGCCCACTCCTGACTGCGAAATTATATCGCGTCGAAACTTGCTTTGACCATGGCCCCGACCCTCTTTTTGCCAATGAAGCGCGAGAAGCGAAGCTTCTGTTCCGGGCGAGAAAATGAAACTGCCACCCTCTCACCTCCCTTTTGTTTATGAATGGAGACGAGCCGCTCAAAATTTATAAGCTTCTAAAGTACAGCGCCAAAACTCACCCCTCACCCTTCTGAAGGCTGATGGCAGATGTGGGTCCAACACGATGGAAGCGAGGAATTGGTGCAGTTTGGGTTTGCCTACTCATGCACATGCTTCCCAAACAGGACTTGCTTCTAAATTATGCAAATAACTTCGATTTCCAGAAATTACCACCCCGAAAATTTACTGGTAAGACCGCATATACGATGTGTCGATCTGGCGCCGGCAATTGCGTACAGCGTTACGCCAGAATATTCCCATTCCTTGTGGTATGTTAAAATACTTTAAAAAGATAAGTACATTTCTTCTCTTCCACAAATTTTTTTTTAACTATGATAAGGCTTATTGTTTTGTAGGCGGCTCCCAAATACAAATTGATGGCATGCTTGATCCAAAAAAGTATGCACACAGTGATGTCGGCGATCATGTGTTATCTTTTTCGTGAAAAGGAATTTATCAGTCACGGACGTAGCATACTTGCCAATAATAAGTAGGTTTCGTCCTAGACGTTCGAAGCACTCACAATGACCAAGCTGCTGGAATTGCGACACTGTAATTGAGAGGAAATTTATTCACGCGAACAGAAATTACTGAATTATCTTGCAGCTTTTGTGAGAAGAAGAATAGACACGGAAACGTGGAAGGAATGATAATACATTTGAATATCACGGATCTTTCTGCATGGAAATTTATAATGGTGACTCGGGAGCCAGTGGATCGTTTCCTGTCGGGTTTTCTCGATCGCTGCATACGGTAGGTGATAGAGCAGAATTTTCGGATGAAAATTTGGAAGAAGCGTCATTTAAGGGCCAAGTCAGATTGCAGATTAATTGAGTTCTGGCTTTCAACACTCAATAAAATTTCAAATTCCTTTTTGATAACTACTGCAGATTTTTATGAATAAGGGAAGGGAGAAAACCTTGTACCTTGTAATTTAGAGAACCTTGAACTCGGGTGCCTTATAAAATCTGTGTTCTCTGTTTGAAATATTTACCAAACTACAAGAGGGTACGTTGATAGTTCCTAAACTTGCGAAGGAGTCCATTGTCTCTTTGTGAGTGCGTTCACAGAAAAGTAATTTTATTCGAAGAGCCAATTCAACTAAAAGATGTGAGGAAAATCGACACTGCTGTGCAGCCCATCATCGCGAACAAATGAAATTTCATAACGCTCCTTCCTAGTTAGTTCTTCGATCCCTAGGATTCATCGAAACCCTTGTTTAGCGTTGCATTACTATTTTTTTTGAAAACATCTTCAAGTTACCGATTTCCTAAAAAATAGCGGAATCCTAAAAAACTTAACTCATCCATTTGTTTGATCTACAATTGGTGTCCTAGCATTGATCAAAAGATGTATTCTCAGCACGAAAATAATTGAAACTCGTTTTAGAGCTGGAGATTCATGCAACGGTTGCGGAAACAATATGACGTGTTTCCTTGAAATAGAGTATGAGAGGTGATTAAATGTTACTTTTTTGATATTTCCTGTTCGAGATTGAGTTCATTCAGAGCACTAGATTTCGCTTACGCCGAGAGGATGCATTTTGAAAAACCGGCTCTTTCTTTTGAAGATCTTCACATATTTCCACAAACTTGGTACAACTAATCTTTTCAAACATTAGGACGAAAACTATATTCCAACTGGTTGAAATTATGTATTTCCAGGCACTGCAGTATGCAAAGGCATTACGATTACAAATTTATACGATACTCAAGTGATCCAAGTGAAACGCTGTTGGAAGATTTGTCTCGGGTACTTCGAGCACAAAATGTAACTTTGCGGGCTATTCTTTCTCCACCTTTTTTCAATCGCTATTCCCTTCTAGGTTTCCGATTCTTCAATCGACTACATTGCTAAATCACTGAAGTCTGGTCGAACTGCTCACAGTACAGTAACCACTTCAGCAAGAGCTTTTCTCGAACAACGTCTTAGAAGCAGCCCGTACTTGATGGAGTTGCTCGTTCGATTATTTTATCACGATTATATAATGCTAGGCTATGAAATGCCTAAATTAGATAATGATGCATAGCAATTTACAAATGATGGGTAGAAGGGATGATCTGCAGAAAATGGGAACGCGAAAGTGGCTAACTCCGCCCATTTCGCCCCATATTCTTAGGGCTTTTTGTACTTTCGTAGGGGCTAGAATTCAGCAGGAGATTGTAGTTGGATGACTTTGTAGCGTCTGTAAAATTACGTTTGCGACTTTTGTGCAAAAACGAATAAAGGTCAAAGTGTTCTCAAGAGATGTTTATCTGGCTGCTGTTTTCTGGTCATTGTATACTGTAAGTTAAAAGCAGTTAAAAGTATTGGACTTTTGGTTTGAAATTTTTGGCCAAAAATCGTCATCGACATCAACGTTTTCAAAAGATTTTTGCAATTTATCCAAGTAAAGTAGTGTGATGCGATGATGACAGAAAGCTTATTTATAACCCTTTATCAAAATAATTTCAAGAACAACGAAACAAATTATTATAGAAGAAATACTAAGACATATATACAAGAGACGATTCATCCAACAGGGCATGGGTCTACAAAAAAAAAGAAGAAATCACCTTTCAACCGGAAAGTCACTCGCGGAGGTCAAAAACGAAGGGACATGGCGCGCAATGTACGCAATGGATATGAGTGGACGGGGTGGGATCACGGAGATTAAAGGGAAACAAATATCAAACGAACTCGTCCAAAAATGATGTTACACTTACAAAAACGATTTGAACAACAGAAACACTTAGGTAACCAAAAAGATACATAACCGTTTGGCTGAGATCACAGCAGAGATCAAAGCGTCGACAGCAATTATCGGTTCGGTACACGCACTGGGGCGCTCCAATTAGGGACAGCCACGCCCCTATTGACTTTGTTGCTGTGTGGCCGTAGAGCGCTGTATGCTCTCAGCCAACGTACGCGTTAGATGCGCTTCAATTTGACGCACATTTTCAAGAAAAGCTAGAAATTCAGCGTCATCCATGCCACCGGTGGGTGCGGTAGCCGAGGTGGATGGAGTCGCTAAAGAAGATGGCATTGGTTGGGCTTGACTGACAGAGGCCATTCCCATAGAGGGTGGGCCCATGCTTGGAGCCGGTGCTCGCATCGCATTTGACATCAACTGTTGAGCCAGGAGGTTCGGCTGCGGTAACGGAATCGGCGCTGCCAAGGAGAGAGGAGGAGCGATTGAGGAGAGCGGGGTGCCCATTTGATGAGAGAATTGAAGTGTTGGCTGTGCTCCAGCCATCGAGACTGCTGGACGTTGAAGACGCGGAACCGATGAGGCCATCTGAAATAATCTCTTTTTAAAAATCATTATGTTTTTTGAGACAGTGGCTAGGGGAAATTGCGAGTGCAATCTTTTCGCACCTACAGGCCTTCTGGATCGGGTGAGTTCGAGACTGTGCAAAAAACCAAAAAACTGCGTTTTCAGGCCTTGGAGATAGCTGGAAAGGATGGGCGAGGGATTTCCGGCACGAACAGCGACTGGCTGCAAGATACTGTAACTCCACCCATTTTGGCGCCAATTGGCTGATCGGCTCAAGCAGCCAATCGCGACTCAGTTGGCTCGCCCTCCCCTCCAGCAGTCTCCAAGGAAAACGCTACAAAAGCACTTCTTTGACTTTTCAATCAAGCTAAGAGGGATGGAAAGCTCACATTTGCGATTTCCCCGAGCCATTGGCCATTGCCTTTAAGTTATGATCAAGCTGGGACCTACTTATAGGAGTAGGGCTGTAGAACCAGTGAAAATTAGAAGAGGAGTGGTAGGAGCGCAGTCAAAAATTTGTGGCAAAATGTGACCGCACTGCCAAAACCCAGTACTCGAAAGACTTTTTCTCTTTACCTGTGCGTTCATATTTGTCCCGGCTATACTTTGTCGTCGTTGTGGAATACCAGCCGGTTGAGCGGTCAGTCGCAGCAAATTATGGTACTCTTGTACAGTCATTTGTTGATTTCGCATTTGTAGCGCAGCCTAAACATGAGTTAATCATAATCTATCAAAATCTTCTAGTCAAATTGGTCCTGAAACGAAGAACGTACCTGATTCTGTAACATCTGTGGCTGTAGCTGCCTCTGTAATTGTTGCGCAACGCTCTGGTCGTGCGCGCGGTACTGTGCCTGCGCCTGCGCTTGCGCTGCGGCCGCAGCCGCCTGATCCATTTGCCGCATCTGCTGCGCGGCGGCCGTGTCGAGCGGTCGCAGTTGTTGGGACGGGTCCAGCGGGCGTAACTGTTGCGATCCATTACCGTCGAGCGGACGAAGATGTGCAGTTGCGGATAGATAGGAGTTCTGTCCGGTGGATGCCATTGTTCGTGCTTGCATCGCCGCTGAAGTTAAAAAATCTATAATATGAAATAGTTTTGCAGTGATTTTGTAAAAAATAGGATAGCGTTAGAAAAAACAGGAGGAAAAGAGGGTGGGGTACTCACCCTGTAGTGCCGCTTGTTGCATCAATTGTTGATGTGTGAGCATGTTGTTTTGCATTTGTTGAGGTATGATAGGTAGTGGACGCTTGCTTACTGGATCCTGAAATTTTCTTCATTGAAAAAGCTAATCATCTTTCAAGATAATCATTACAGAAAAGGGAAACCACGGCAGAATCCATTGAAAATCGAGTAGATGGTGCACGGTACGCAATTACACTTACTACCTTTGACTAACTGTATCCAAACAGTGCATTCTACGAACAAAAACAATTTTCAAATGATATTTCAATAATGTTAAGGACGATACGGAACAGGGAAGTTAGAAAAGCCTTTGGAGATAATGCCATTAATTTCCTATTGAACTTCAAGTACGAATGATAATAGAAAGCAGGAAGAAGTTATCAACCTATTCAATTCTTTTTAATAGATCAACTAATTACAACGGATGAAAGATTTGCTGTAACGGATACATTTAATGAAAGTTTTATGTGGTGTTCTGATATACAGAATGATTCTTGAAATATCAGATGCAAATAAAAAGGGTAATGGCTCTCAATTTGATTGTTATTTTTGTTCATTCAACAACAAAAGCGCAAAAAATAGTGTAGTCTGCACTATCGCGAAACTTAGTTCAGGATTACTGTAGCTCGTCAGGTACGTGGTGGTTACATGTAGCACAATTCGCACTTTGATTAAAAAAGCTTGATATTTACACGGACAATTGAATTTTACTTACAACCTTTCTAGACAAACTTTTTTCTTAAACGATAACTATACTTAAAAGATGAAAATTGGGTTATTTTACATATTAATAGATTTAAATGTGTACTTGTAACTATAACTGTTTACTGGACCATACTTTATTTGAATGTTTAAGTCATTAAAACATTTGACTAATTTTCTTCAGTAGCTAAATTTATGATTTGATTATATATTTTAAAACTCTAAATAAATTATTATCTTAACGCTAACGCATATGCAAAGAACATGGTACAATACATCATAATTGGATATAACACAGTTCAAATACAAGGAAGATGTAGATTTTTCTGATTTGTAACGTATGTAGTTTTTCTTCGCAGTTTACGTATCTCCTGATATTTACTTGCTTTGAGCTGCATGGCATTATTATCAAGCAAAAAGTGGCAGAATTAAATCAGCTGAATGTGGTCATATATTGAGAAAAAGCTTCTTTTCAAAGCTGTCCATACAGATCGAAAACGGGGATCTATTGAATTTCGAAATTAAAGAGCGTTGATATTGGTTAATACAGCTATTCACACTGATGATGTTTTCGGCTATTGTGACGTGGCACAAAATGTACACATGAACACATGGACTTCAATAATGCCGAACAAGTGTTTTACATTTGTTTCCTTGTATGGAAGAGTGAAAAGAAAGTTCTTTCTGAATAGCAGCATTGTGAACAGTAAAGCCTTGTATGGGAGAAGCAGGTGCTATCAAGCACTTCAGTCACAAATGCAAATTTAGCAGGTGATTTACAACTGGCCATGTGGAAGTTTGATTGATTTCGGAGCAAACAAAAAACGTACACATAATAACCGGCGGAAGTATGCAAAAGAGAGCAGACAAGTCTTTTTTATATTCAAAAAAAATGAAAAAAAAGTTCTCGCAAACACCACTAGAGCTGCTATAAAAATAGCATATCACTGATAAACAGAAAAATTTCAATATTCCGCAAAAAGCTACCGCACAATTTGAAAAAAAAAAGTTCAAAAGTTTGGTTACGGAGTTTCGCAAGACTACCGCGGATTCCTACGAAAGGAAAAAAATATGGGGTTTATACTTAAGTTTCACCCACTATCCCAATAACTTTCATCCCTTTCCTCTCGCTCCTTTTTCCCATTAGAGAGATTATTGCAAAAAATTTTTTTCTGTTGTTTAGACCATATTTTTTTCAATAAACAGACAATGATAAAAGATTTTGAGATTTTGTGCTCAGCTCCACATCACGTCGCTTGAAATTTTGACAGCTGGGGAAACTCACCACAAAATCAGAATTTTTATCAGAAGATTTCAGAAGAATCAGAAAATCAGAATCTCGAAATCAAATCAAAATTTCTTAAGCCTACAAAAAAATAACCAAGTGATGTTTCTCATCCTTAGTTGTGACAAATTGTGTTGGAAGAATAACACGTGATATTTCCCATCTTTAGTTGTGATAAATTGTGTAAGGTGCATTCTACTGTGTAAAAGATTATTAAGACTAAAGGTCTGAACTATGCTAAACAAGGCTAACACAAAGTCAAACAACTTCAATATCTCGAACCTCAAAAAAGTTAAAAAAATTGCATTTGAATAAAGTTAAATTGTCCTACTGCTTGTCTACCTAAAAGAAAAAAGAAGAAAATGAAAAACTATTTTATAGTTTGCACCCATGAAGTAGCTGCAAAATAAAGCTGAAAATGAGGAAAATTCCCGCAAGACAGCAGTTTTTAATGTATTCAATTCATTTCTTAATCGAGACCTAATTAGAATTGCCATGACTATGTAATGACCATGTGTCACAGATCTATTAATCATTAACGAGGAGTCCAAAATGTTGATTGTGCTTATCATAGTAATCTTCTTAAAAGCAGTGATGCAACTTCAAAAAAAGGAGAAGCTAAGCTCTTATTAGCATGATAAGACAAACGAGTTGAGTCCAAACGCAAAAAAGTTGAAAGAAAAACCGAGGTGGAAAGTCCCGTACTCCAAGTTTTATGAGCAGAACTATAAAAAGTGACAAATCTCTTATCTCAAAAATGCAACACTTTCATCTGTCCTGCAGTGGATGTCGATACTGTCCAAGTTCGCTTTGAAGCGATTTTTATCGAACAACAAAAAAATTGTATCAAAAAAATGTAACAAGTTCTTTAGGATTTTTATTGCAGAGCCAATATATGTGGTACATGCTCTAATATGGAGCAAAGTCAATATTTAGTTCAATTACGAGTCGACTCAGAGGCAGAGCGCCGCGCCGCACCTCACTGCGATGCATCAGCCAATATTGGAAACACAAGGACTTTTTTGCAGTGAGATATTTACTATAAACCAGAATTTGAAAGAAATTGAAATCGCTGTTAGATAACGGGAATTTTTATATTTTTTTCCATCCACTTAGTTTTCCGTTCTTTTGTACGTTGTGCGTGTTCATCTTTCTAAAAACATACGGGAGGAGTAAGGCGAAAAATATTGATCGTTTTCGCTTTATTTATATTGCTACTATTCTGAAAAATACAAAGAGCAAAATATTCTGTGTATAGTCGGACATTTGCCATTGCTGATAGAGCAAATAATCAATGAAAAGTCGGATTATACATCAGATAATCGCTGGATAGTTGATAAGAGCATAATTGTTTGAATAAATTTATCTACACAGGCGATAACAGTATCTTTGTTTACTTTCCACTCACGCCAGATTGCACAATCTTTTAGCACAAGTCAAAAGGGTAGCAGATGAAATGAGATGAACACAATTTGCATTGTGAATTTCTCATGAATACGAAATGTTGACCGAGTTTAGAATGCACTTAAATGGTGAATTTTTGCTTTGAATTCGAAAACTCCACCCATGTATTCATGACATTCAATCCTAAGAGTGCAAAGCCATAAATGTCACGCTTTATGAGATTATTGTTGATTTTGAAGCCATTATTCATAAATACGAGATTTTCGATTTGTTGTCAATAGACGTATGCACTTTAGTAAAGCGGATTGAGCTGAAAATAGAATGACATCGTTTAGAAGAATAGTTGGGTTCCGCGTCGCGATTAGCGCATGGACCAGTTCGCAAAAGTGCAATTCTATGGAGCTGAAGGAAGCAACGGGGCAGTACAATGGTTAATCAGACAGTTAACCGAGTATATAGTCAGTGTGGGACCAGCAGTGCTACGCTATCATGGAATATAGTGTCGAGCTACTGCATCACAAAGTGCAGCCTTGTAGGCGCTGTTCAACTTGAATACCGTATGCTACCGTAATCACCGCGCAAGGGAAAAGTTTGGCGACGCGTACTATTATAGGCTAGTAGATTTAACGTAAATACATGGTATCGTACCTTTTTATTTTGAGAGTCTGGAAACCGCTTCGCACACATTGTCAAAACAAGCTCGATCGTGTGCTCAACAAGTTTAAACTTGTGATCTACCTGATCTAGGATTATTTGCTGCTTAGAAACACTAAAGAACACGTTCAAGCTTGTTCAGACATCTCAGTTTCACAATCATAGTAAATGTTAGTGTACCTAACATTTGCCGACAACATTTGCGCGTGAACCAACGGCCAGAGAGTGCAAAACGTAAGAATATACGCTTTGGGGCCATTTTACGCGCGCAAACCACTTGCAATATAGGCGGTTTTTTCAGGCGCGAATGTTGTCGACAAGCATCGACCGCACTACACTCTTCGTCAGATCTGTTAGCCCAAACAGTTCAAATAACATCGGCACCGCGTCCAACACGCACCGCACCCAGTTAATCTCGCGCGGACTACGGTGACATACTGTAGCCATACGACATTGCTACAGTATGCTACCTGCTACCGTACCGCTTTTTGCTGCTCCCAAAAAACAGCTTTTAGTTCTATATTTTTTCTATGATATAATCATGGAAACTTACAAATTGTGTGAAAGCCGCTGGTAGAGGTCGTTTCAGTGATTCCTTCTCCGTCTCAACTTGCAGTGTACCACGGTCGAAAAATTTCATAAAATCCTCGTGAGCACTGAAAATGAAGAATTTGATAATTCTGTGCATTATTATAACTTTATGGAGGTAAGGGTTGTAGAAATTAGAAGTATTGATTCACAAATGGTATAAACAAAATTTGACAGATTCTTCATCTTATACTTCCTTCATTTCAAATTGCATATCTTTAATGTTTTTCCATTTACGCAAATTATGCAAAACGCGATACAGCCCCTGCCATTCCCCCTGCGGCAATCTTCTACATAGCTTTTTACGTTAAACTCAATTATTGTGCAGGTGTTAATTTTATGGTTTCACATCGCATAATTATAGTTTGATAACTATGATTTTCAAGCGGCAATAGCTATAATTCAACGGAAATTGTATTTATTTAGAGAAAATTGTCGGCGAAATTGTATGTTATTGCGGAAATTGTAGCGTAGACATCTCATAACAAATGAAACGTAAGAAAAGTAGTTACTAGTTCAGCAATAGCTGTGGTCATAGAAAAAAAAACGTAATTACGCAAGAGATATGAATCTGGAAAGGGTAAAAATTAGCGTATTTGCTTTGCAGTTTTTTATGAATGGAATGCTTGCATTTACTTGAGCTAAAGAGAAGTCTGAATGAAGATAGGAGATAGCGAAAGCGGTTGTTAATGACATGCGCATTATGTGCAATTGCATCTCGTACGCAAATGGAGAATTAAGTACTACAACACAAATGTAAATGCAGATCAAATTGACTCTTAACCTACAAAAATGTCAGAACACTCTTTTTTTTCTCCCTGCATTTCCGATTAACGCCTAAAAGAACAATACTTGAACTTAGCAGGATATGAGGAATACTGTATTTATCAGATTTATACCTTTGAGGAACATAAGATGCTAAGAATCTTATACTAGTTATCACATAAATGAATATCTTAACCAAGCAGGATGCCATAGAGTTTGTCCTTTTTAAGACTAGAATTTTTTCATGGGTAGATGAACAGTAAACTAAAGTTCTAAGAAAAAGAGATTGGAAATTTTTTTTGATACTTTGGCTGCGTCCAGAATCGCCTGTGTCCGCACCGTGCTAGCACCGTGCCAGAAAGACGACCGATCAATATAGGATGCATCCGCGTGGGTCCCGACGCAGTGCTAGCACGATGCTGGCACGGCAATGGAACGGCGCTGGCATAGCACCGGCACAAGGGCAGGGGTGTATGACTTTATGAACGATAGCATGTGCCAGCCGCCTGCTGGGTACCGTACGCGATGCGCTGAATGCTCCGCCTCCTTGTCAATTAGTCAGGAATGCGTTGCAACTATCAGAAAAATCTAATATTTCGTTCACGCTCCTTCAGTTAGCTGCAATTTGGATATAGAATAGAATTCAAAATTTCAATTGAATTGAAAACCAGCTTTCAGAATCATTTTTCATTATAAATTAGTTCGCAAGCTCTTTTTTGATGTGTTTCAGTTTTTTGTTCCTAGTAGGTTTGTCCAAATTGATTTTTCATAGCAGCTGTGAGGAATTTGTTCCGAAAATGCTTGAAAAAGTGTTTCAGTTCTCTTTATTCACATCTGTTACTATATCGAATATTCTTTATTGTACACTCTCAAGTTCAGTTCAAGAAGACGTCAGCTTATCGAGAAGTACTATTATTATTGCTGAAATGACCAACACGATTATCTCTTTTATTAGAAAACTAAGTTTTAAAACTTTACTCGTAGCTAAATACAGATTTCATTTTAGGCAAATTTTGTTTCAAGCAAACTAATTTCAATAACTGGTATACATCATTACATTTGATAATCTGCTTCAATTAACAAAATTATTTCATGCTCTCATCAGCTGAATGACCGAAAACCAATTTCAACAAATATTCACTTATAGCTCAAAATTCATAAGAATTCAGAAAAACGAAATTCGTAAGAATTTAGAAAAACCGCAGTCACTTATAATTCCTCCACGGAATCTGCTTTTACAAAAAATAATTGTGCATTACTTCCAGAAACTGCGCTTTCGAATCAAATCGATTGCTGATTCGCTTGCGTGTGAACAGTTAAAGAAATGAGGTCACCCAGACAATTGCCTGAGGTGTTCTAAATTGATTTCACACTTCAAATTTGTTACGAAGACATTAGGTCATTCAGAGGTGAATCAGCAAAACATTCAAGAAATCAGCATCTCACAAATGGGCAAAAATCAAAGAAAACAAGCGATTCTGTATATAAGCTTCTCCCCGGCTTGAAGCAAGCTTATGGCTTAATATCAAAGATTGATTTTAGTGGACTAGTGAACATGGTTATTAACCAGTGCCCAAGCTGTAGTGCAGGAAACTCGTCCATCTAGCGATAGGCGGGGCTAACGTTGCGCACCTTATTGACACATGCCTGCCTAAGCGCGCGCTGTCGTTCATAAAGTCCGCCACCCCAAGGGCAGCTCTGAACGCTGCATTGTTTTTTATAGTTGAGGACTTTTGTTTAAATCAGTTCCCAACTAAAAATGACTTTTTAGCTTTGTGATTTTGTCCACAGCCTTTTAAAATAAAATAGGGTTGGAGATGCATGATCCCTTAACCGAAAATTATCTTGATAGAAAATTTTCTCCACCCACTAAAGCAAGAAGTTGAACATTTTACCTTGAAAGGGTGGGGGGGGGGGGGAAGGAGGGAGGAGGAGAAGTATGGTACTAGCGCAAGCGATATGCCTCAAGTAATTTGTCATCAGTTTTGAAGGAGGACAAAATTTTTCCATTCGTCATTGCTGTGTACATATATGTAAAAATTTTCCGCTGTATGAATAACAAAGTTAGAATATGTCAAAAAGGGTGGGAATATCTTGCAATTTGTTACATGTGAATGAGATAAATAGCTAAAGAACTGCAAGGAAGAAGACTTCTGCGGACAACTTGACAGAAGCCTATAGGGGCCCGTAAATGTTGGTTTGCTTGAAATGGAGAAAATGATGAACTGTTGAAATGCACTTTCGGAAAACTATGTAATCAACACCCCGAATTCGCGCCACGTAGCCAAAACATAAGCCTGTATGAGTAAGTGTTGGTACGCGATATTTTCACAATAATTGCCATAGTACGACGCAATAATGCACATATTGGAAGGTGATGAATGTTTATACTGAAAATGTCTTAGAAGCTCGTGTGGACGTAGCGAAAAAGTAATAGTAACGCTGGCCACCACGGCCGAAAAATGATTATGCCGTAGCGCAACAGAGTGTGCAATTTAGATGTGAGATGCAGTGCTAAGGAATAAAACATGTGATTTAGACTACAAACTAAGCATTGCAAATTCCTTGGCGTGTTTTTGACGCAGAATTGGTATTCAAGGTGGGATCGAAAACTATAGCCTTAATACAAGCGTTTGACAGTTATTTGCACCTGCCTAAGCATTAGTATATTTGTTCTGATTTAGGGCACAAATTGAGCTTATTACTCTCGTTTCAGGTGCGTGCTTGTGAGAAAGATAATGAAAATGAGTAAAAAAAATTCCAAGATCTAGAAGTTGTGGGCGCTTATCCAATTTGCAAATTTTCTGTTTGGTGATAATCAAACTTTATAGAACTATTTATAAAAACTGGTATTTTTTCAGATTGTTCTATTCAAAAAGGAAAAACGAAATGGTTGAGGTTAGCTTGATTTTTATTTTTTTTATTATATATAACGATCTTCCCTCACTACTGATGACTTTTGGGGAGGATCGTAATCTTTGTTCAATTGCTGTCTAGTAGTAGTTAAAGGAAAGGAAATTAGAAATTTATTTGTTTTTAGTATTGAAAAGTTAAATTTTATTCTCCAACGTCTAGCATAATACGAAATACTCAAAGAATACCTCAAAAAAATTTAAAAAATTTATAACGAATCCTAGTAAGCCAGTCGGGAAGCGAAGCACAAAAAGAGTTTCATTAGCAGAAGAGCTGTTTCGTACATATTTATCAATCTACCTTTAAAAGTGTAGAAGAGTAAAACAGCAATTTAAGACAAGCTAATGAGAATTTTTGGGAGTTTTGGAGATGGTTCGAGTGGATCAAGAGCAATTGTTATAAAAATATTGCTGGAAAGATGAAGAAGTCCGTCATCATCTCATATCTCATAATCATTAAAAGAAAGACTATTGAGGTTGACTCCGTCATTTTTTTTCAAAAATGGCTCTGTTTAAGCGAGAAAAGGTCATTAATCGCAAAAATTATAGCAAGGTCCTTCATGTATGTAATTTTGTACAGCTACATGATATGAAGTTATAAGCAACATTTTATGATCGCTATCAAGTAAAATTATGGGTATGTAGGCCAATTGTTCCTTCTAAGGTCAGAAAATGTTAAGTAGTGAAGTGGGGGTGGGGGGAGTTTCTTATTCACCTTTCCAGCTTAAGAAAGAACTGTTTGATTTTTGAAGTCAACTTGCTCAAATTCTTGTTCCGGCTTGGCCTGATAAAGTAAAAGCGGGGAATATAACAAAAAGTAAAAGGGGAGAATATAACAATTTAAGTGTTTGAGTCAACAATACACTTTCTCATAGTAAATTCAAACATGTGATGAGTCACATGCAATAAAACAGCTTTGGTTGTACATGCATAAAACATATCAAAATATTCTAACCTTTCAACAATGCATTTCATAAACATAGCATTTTCAACATTCTGAATATTTATTGACTTTTCGACAGCTTTTGAAAAAGAAAAACACTAACTTCATGTTATTGCTTTGTGACAAGTTCAGTAGAGCATTTCTTATGCCCTGAACGTTTCTTTGCAGCAAAAACAGGATTTCCGCTGCCTAATGAAGCTTATAGGAATGTTTGCGTCATTTTGCAAGAAGCTGCAGAATTGTGTTTGCTAGAGAAAAAGAAAGGAAGAAAAGTACAAGAATAGCTGCACAAAGTTTTTAAAACAGAAACTATAGATTTTTAGCGACTGTTCTTAAAAGGAAGTCTATTTTCTTGCAGTAGTAGTCTACATAAATTATAATCCTGCAAATAACTTTCTTACTTGGAAATATTCGAGATAATTTCTTAAAAAT